AAATGCTAAGCTAATGAAAGAACTTCCAAAAAAAGCTATAAGATACATAACTATCGTAATAAACTCAATACTTCGTTTACAATACTTCCCTGACGCATGGAAAATAGCAACAATAATACTAATACCAAAACCGGGAAAACCGCCACAAAAGGTCACGTCCTACAGACCAATTAGTCTACTGCCCATATTATCCAAAATTTGTGAAAAAATAATTATCAAAAGGTTAAACAAAATTTTAGTCGAGCGAAACATAATTCCTGAACATCAATTCGGCTTCCGAAACGACCACGCCACAATCGAACAAATAAATAAAGTAACTAATAAAATAGTAAACAGTTTTGAAAACAACGAATACTGTAATGCAGTATTTCTTGACGTAGCTCAAGCTTTTGATAAAGTTTGGCATGAAGGACTACTATGCAAACTTAAAAAAATCACACCACCAAATCTCTATCTACTGTTAAAATCGTATCTAAGCGCCAGAACTTTTAAGGTTAGAGTAAATGATGAAACAACAAACTTATACTCAATTAAAGCAGGAGTCCCACAAGGAAGCGTTCTCGGTCCAATATTATACCTAATATACACACATGATCTGCCAATCAAGGAAAATATTGACATCGCCACGTATGCAGACGATACAGCCATTCTGATATCACATGCTAACGAAAAAACAGCCTCCCACATTATGCAAATATACATAGACATAGCCGTAAGCTGGTTCGATAAGTGGAGGATAACAATAAATGAAACGAAGTCAATTCAAGTAACCTATACCAAGAAAAAAGGATCTTGTCCACCAGTAAGTATTAAAAATCAACAAATCTCACAAGAAGATAAAGCAAAATATCTTGGAATGCACCTTGATCGAAGATTAACATGGCGAGAACACATATGGACCAAACGAAAACAACTCAATCTCCAGACAAGGAAATATTACTGGCTATTAGGGAGAAAATCTAAACTTTCAATTAAAAATAAGCTTCTTATATACAAGTCAATAATTAAACCAGTATGGACATACGGCATACAACTCTGGGGCACAGCTCCAAAATCAAGCATAGACATAATAGAAAGATTCCAAAACAAAATAATAAGAGCTATTACTGATGCACCATGGTTTGTCACAAATGAATATATAAGAAAAGACATAAATATAAACACAGTAAGAGAAGAAATTGAATCAGCGCGCCAAAAATACACCAACAGGATAAAGGAACACACTAACAAATTAGCAAAGAAACTAATATACACAACACCGATAGTCTCAAGATACAAGAAATATAAAATAGTGTTTGTGCAAGATTAAACAAGCGAGGTATTAAAGTACTGGTACTGATCAATGGAGAAGTACCTTCCTGTAACTGAAGCAAACTCTTTTGTAACCAATTCTATGTAATTGAAATGTTTTGTAAAATTTACCTATTGTCAAAAGACAGATTGTAAATAAATGGGAGTAATAAAAAAAAAAAAAAATTTATATATGTTTTGACTATTTTAGTTGTGTTCTAGTTCTACGGAAAATAGCAGTTATGATATTTTTGTCAGACGATGCTGAATATTACGGATGCTTATTTCACCTTGTGTCCGAGTTACTCTATGGCAGATTTAAGATCATTAGTATTCACTGATGGATGCATACTTCTCAATACCACTTCAAATATCTTATCTTATTTACGCTCATACGTATAAAATTGAGTGATTTTTCCTTTACTGCAGTGATTATCGGTAGTTATTTTTTTGCCGTTCTCAATTGTATTTTTATTTTATTTTGCCCCAATACTTTAAGTGTATAACTTAGTCTTTAGCCTTTATTGCCTACAATAGATTTTTTAACGGGCAAATATTTTCTATGTTGTATAAAATGATTAGAGGAAATTTATGTTTTAATGAGTTGACTTCTTTGTTTACTGTATTCACTTCTTTCTCTCGATTATCACGAATAACCTTGTACTTATTGGTGGATTAACTTAGCCAGTAATTATATAATTGGATTTACCGTTTCTTATTTGGTATTCAGTTGTCTCGGCAGTTCGTTGTCTTATGCTGTTTACAGTTTTCCACTCTTTGCTGTTGTTTTGATTAGAAGTAGAGATTGTGTCCCCCATTTGAGTAGCCAGTTTGATCGTTACTTTGTTTTTATTATCTATATTTTTTTTTAAATTTATTATACGGAAGAAACTTCCTTTAACAAATATATAAAAACATATATAGAATTAAAAAAAATTAACAATACAATTAATAAACAAAAAAAAAGAACAAATAGAATATAAATTAAAATTATAAAAAAGAATATAACAAATAATAGAAATTAATAAAAACTTAAGAGTAGCAGAGTATAAAAGGAAAAAGAGGCAGCCAATAAATTAGAAGACATAACGGGATAAAATATGGAAAGGAAGAAAAATATAAAACATTAACAATACTCAAAAAGCTCCAACCTAACAGCTTTCTTGAATGCACCAATGGAAGTGAATGTCAACGGGAGTAGAAAGAAGGGGTTAATAATGTTACAGGAACGATCAATGACTGAGGTATGATTAAGAGTGGACTTGCGAGGACGGATATAACATGAATAGAGGCGTGCACAAAGGAAACGCGATAAGATTATATTGTTAAAAGATAAATTTATATTAACTTGGTTAGTCACTTCTCTGAATTGGCTAATATTTTAGCTTTACGAGTAGAGCGCAATGTAAACCTGTTAGCTTTTCTCAGGAATGTAATCATCGTGTTAGTTGACTTTTTATCATATAATAATTCTTACTGAAAAAGAGATAAAAATTAAGACTTTTATATTTAATTAGCTATTTGACTTACTGATATGACGTAAGAATTTTACGATAAAATTTATATATTTATTTATTAACCACAATACTGTACAATTCACTTAAGGAAATTTCACAATACATTACACAATAAATATGTGTGACCCAGCAGAGAAATAATTCCTGTACGCTGGTTTGACGTATACGAGTACATAACAACTACAAATAAACGTAATTACAAAAAAACTTAAATTTAAAAATAAAACTGCTTTCCTCGATACTAATAGTAATACTATTGGGTCAAGTTAACAGTTAAAATTGCACTTTTGTTAAATAAACTATTTCCAACTTCTTCTGATGAGTATTATTCTTATAGTATTATATCCAATTAAAACTGTACGTTTATCGAATTATATATGTTTTTTTCCATGAAATTAATTCTGGCTGGACATGTAAGTCCAACCGTACAAGTTAGTCTGTAATACGGAAGCATTCTTTCGTAATATCTCATTAAAAAACACTTACAATTCGATGTAAATACTATTTCAAGTACTATTACATCTGTATGTTTATGTTGTTATTTTATTGAGTAAAGCGAGCTGGTAAAAATTTGTCTTTTCTTAGCCACCTTTATTGAAATATAGTATTGCTTTATTGTTTGCAAAGAAATTAATATCCGTATATGTCATATATCCTATAACCGTTTGTTTTCAGTATTGGTATTTCTGGATTGCGGTTATCTTAATTGAAAGTGCTCAAGATTGTTAAATTTTGATACTTTATCCAATTTGGTAAATACAGTTTCAACAGGTTTATAATATTTTTTATTTATATTTACCAATTCATCATTTGAGTTTAATGCTCTTATAAAATATATATGCCTCATCCTAATAATTTTAGGATTTAAGCAATAGCCGGAACATTTGTAAGCTTTTTAGTTTTTTTGTTGCTTATTTGGATTTTTATACTTCAGTGATTTAATTAATGTTAACTATATCTCTGTTTAAATTGATGTTAACTGTTATAGGACGGGGATTTGGAATTTTTAACTGCTCAGTATTTTCTATAGAAAACGCATAATATGTGTGTCTAATAGCGGAGAATACTCATAAGTGGCGATCGATGGTCGAGCCACTATAGTGGCTTTCCCGTCCTCAGGGGTAATGTTAATTTTGATACTGAAAAATTGTTTTATTTGGCACAGGGAGTTAGTACCTTCGGGTGGTTTATGGTTTTTTTCGTAAGTTTGATCTTGGAATTCGATTCAGCGTCGAAACATACCTCAAAAAACTATATTGACACTCCCTTACTATAGAAAGTTTATTTTTACAACTAAAAGGATAGTTTTCCCTTATTTTAGGGTTTCATAATTTTTAAATAATGACATCAAATTCGTAATCAGTATGTCCAAAAACCCCAGAATTAAACTACTCTATAAACTAACTTGAGAAATTATTTTAAGCCACTATAGTGGTTTTCCCGCCCTCTAAAGGTTAAAAAGCTGTCTTTTAAAATTAAAAAAAATTTAATTAGAGATTCTAATATGATTTATTTTGTAACAATGTTTGCCGTATCCATTTGCACATATGTATTTACATATGTATTTAAGTTGTATGTAACAAGTCTAACATCTACTATTAGTGAATCTGAATACTAATAAAATTTAAATAAAAATATAAAGAATATGCAAATATTAGGAGTTAGTTTTCTTAGAGACCAAAATTAACAAGATTTCATTGATAAAGATCCAATGTAGTTACTTAGTTTAGACAACATATCGAATTTGAAAAAGATTAATATTATAATATTAGGTAGACTTTAACTGATATCCATTAGTAAAAAAAAATAATTTGGATGAACGATTAAGTTTGCCAAAGAGCAACCTTGTAACCTTCAAACGAAACGAGCACATGTCCTATCTACACTTTTTATAATAAATAAATTTTTGACACTACTTGCCATTATTGCAGAGGACCATAAATTATTTTTTAATAAATGCAAACCTCCATTCAAATGTGTTGCACTAACAGCCATTTTGAATTTTTGAAAATGTTCGAATACTTAAAAACTACGTTGAGTTTATCTTTTACTAGAAACAAGTTATAACTAACAGATAACTTCTACGAGTAAAACATATTTTAATTAAGATATTTTTCAATTATATAAGTTTCTTATAATAATTTGTGTTGGTAAATATTTTAGCAGTAAGCTAAATATATAAATAGAACTTACTTCATTATGCAGCGATGATGTTTCACACATTCAACAAGTGTATTTTTTGAATAGAGTGAAGAATAGGAGTAGGTCGAGATACTATTTCTTGAGCGTAGAAAATTATTGTTATCGAAAATGGTATTAGACTTTGTTATTTTTTTTAATCGATATTTTAATAATTCTAATTGAGAACATGCTTGTATCATCAACCAGCATATTAAAGTTTCATTAGCAATTTGCAGGTTAGCTGCTCCAACGTGGGCTATTGTTTGATGAAAAAAGGTTATCCAATAAATACTGCTTGATGTTATTTTATAGGGTATCCAAGCTTTAAAAGGCAAAATTCTGTTAACACTGACAAAAAATGTTCGAGCTGTTATTAATATGCACGTGGTCTCCGTCAAAGATGCATAGCACAATGTAACAAATCTACGAACAAACAAATCAAAAATGAAAAATTTCTTCTTAACATAATTTTTACGACTTTGTGATATTATTTTTATCAGTGATTATAAGAATAATTAGCTTATTCGAAGCCTTATACTAATTCAGACTTATCCTTGGTATTATGCAATATCATGACTAAATCTACACAAAAATTCACATTAATACCTTCGTTTAAATAAAGTTTATTATTTATATTATTGAAAAAAATGACAAATTGATTACTATTTTTAAATCCAGCCCAGCTCATGGTTTTGTTTAGTTTCTAACGAAAATTAAAAAAATATAAGTAAATAGTGGAAATCGTTCCTTTATTTTTTTATTAGTTTTGCGAAATCAAATATGTTTGGAAGATTTATACATATACATTTTCTCGATAACTTATTATAATGCCATTGTTATTAAAAGTATTATCTATCTATACCTGGCCTTCTCGTGAAATTTCTGTAGTAGATTTTGCTCTTCTATATTTTGTGCTCTACAGCGACTACTAGATAGATTTTTCAATAATTGAAGAATGTCGCTACGAAAATATAAAATGTTTGTCATTTTACAACAAACATTAAGCATAGATAAAACCATGAAACAATTTCCTGTTAACTCTTCGAAATTGTTTGCACTCATTATTATTTCTACTAAATGACTTAATGTGAATGAAGAAATTAAGAAATACATGATAAATGAAAATATATTATACAGACATTTTTTAAAAACCGTGTTAAGACTTTGAGGTGACCAAAAGCCGCAAACGGTTAAGATATGAAATGGCAAGGGTAACACTTCCATTTTAAAAATAATGTTCCAATTTAAGTATAAGTATAAATTATTTGGTACAATACCACAGTACAACCGTTATTCAGTCCTAAAATATCATATTATTTCAATGAGAAAGATGCAGTACTTTACTTGGCTCTTTCTCAGTAAACGTACGAACTCCCTTTTACAAGCCTATATTTAAGATCTATACTTGAAAATGACGTACAATCTAATTACAAGTCAAATGAGCTGCGTCGAATATAACGTAGTACAGAAATTGCTGGTTTCACATCATTCAAAATATATAAAGACAAGCTCATCCAAAGACTTGTTTATAGCAGATAAAGCTAATAACAAGTTTCGTATCAGTACTTAATTTCAGTAGCTATATGACAAAGTTGAAACTGAATTCTATTACAAAGTATAAGTGTACGCAAAAACTATTAATATTTGAAATCCTGTATGTTTGTTTTTGAATTCTGTAATAAGGAATAACACTCACGTATATGTATGTTTTGTTAACTCATTTATTATCAGAACTTAAGAAGTTAAAAAATATATTGATGACTTCTGAAGGTTCAAATGATTGCGAATAATATAAAAATATTTCATGTAATTGTCTTAAATAGTAACTTTTTATTAGTTATTTTAAGCAGTATCTATAACAGTGGATCTAAAAATAAGAATCGATTGAAATTTCGTATAAATGTGCAATTAATTAAGTGCATTAAAATCTTTATTCAATTTTGGTGACCATTCAGAGCTTCAAAAGTAAGAAATAAATTATTAAAAATTATACGTGGTCTCATTGAGGGTCTTATAACAAAAAGGGGACGAAACGAAAATCGCCAGATAATTCAAGCGAGTAAATTATCAAATTATATTCAAAACTTAATTTCAGAAATATGGTTACATAGAAGATACAATTGTGTATCTTTTTCCTAAATAAACTTTTTTATAATTTTTATAGTTTCTGATTTATTTCAATAAAAAGACATATTTAAGCGATCAAATTTTTTCAAAATTTTTCAATTCGACTCACCATAACATTCGTAAATGATGATATTGGTTTCTGAAACTTTAGCACGATAAACTTTTATATATTGAGCTTCTGTTAAACTTATGTACGATCTTTAATAATAAATAAAATCAAAATGGCGAATTTTTTAAAACATTTGTTTATAAATTCCTTTTTAAAAATTTAATTGAAAATGTTGTGCGAGGAAAATTTGAATTTCTAGTTTTTAATTATTCTAAAATGTTCGTTATGCTGTCCAAACGTTTTCCTGATAATTTTATCTCATTATCTCTTATTTTTTACGAGCCATGGCAATTATTTTACGAGCGCGCGACACATACATATCTACCATCCACCATGCGACTGACCGGTCGAAGACAACTGAAATTTTCCGAAGAAATATGCTTAGAAATGTTTATGTTTCGATAATTTATATCGCTTCGATTCGTACTATTCGTAAATATTTCATAGTATTTAATTGTTGTTTATTTATTTAGTTCTTGGTTCTAATCATTAAATCATTTAAGTATTTACATTATTGATAAGAGATCTTTATTTTATAAAATATATAACACTTTATAACTTTTTTAGCATTTATCATAATAACATCAAATATTAAATTAAGAATTATAGCAAATTTTTTAATATTCAAACTAGAACGGATGAAATCGAGTTTCAGAGTTCGCTCTGGAAAAGGACCTTTTTCACCTAGAAGGACTCGTTAATCGACAAAAAGTCAATCCGTGCAACCCCTCTGAATATTGGCCTGCAATACACTGGTACCCTCGGAAAATCAAAAAACGGAAATTTAGGGGGTGAAAAGCCACTTCTGTCGAAAAAAATGTAATATTTTAGTTAACAAAATTCTAAAAATGAGCAGCTTGAGGCATTAGATAGCACTTGGAAAACCAAATAGATCGTCGCACAGGCGATGTCGCGTAATGTACTATTCATTTCGATGAATTATCACGGATAGATATACGAGGTCTGTCCGGAAAGTATCGGACCTACGTTTATATCTTCGCGCCATAGTGTTCGAGCGACCTCTACCGGACAGAAACGTCAACAGTAAAGCCTCACGAATCTATTGGTTACTTACTGACACTTGCCGGATGTATAGTTCATGCGCAGCGTGTCTTTGTTTACAGTGCCTTTTTCGCGTTCATCGGATTTTGATATTGTCAAAAATGACTGAAAAACAAGATCAACGAATTTGCATCAAATTTTGTTTTCAACTCGGAAAAACGAGTTCGGAAACTATTGAAATGATGCAAAAGGCCTTTGGAAGCGAGTGTATAAGCAAAACACGAATATAAGAGTGGTATAAACGGCTCAAGGATGATCGCACTTCTGTCGATAGTGATTTTCGTTCCAGCCGACCTTCGACGACAAAATCGCAGATAATATTGAGCGGGTGCGACTTGCAATCGAACAAGATCGTCGTATGACTGTGCGAGAACTAGAAGAAGACCTTGGGATACTAAAAACTATCATTTCAGAAATTTTAGGAATGAAATGCGTGTGTGCGAAATTCATCCCAAAATTGCTCACAGCAGAGCAGAAGAACATTCGCTTAGAAATCGCTCTGGACAATCTGGAAATGGTCAATAATGATGACAATGTTCTTAGAAAAGTTATTACAGGTGATGAATCATGGGTTTATGGTTATGATCCTGAAACAAAACAACAATCTTTACAGTAGAAACATTCTGAATCGCCAAGACCAAAAAAGGACGTCAAAGTCGGAGCAATGTTAAGTTAATGTTGATTGTTTTTTTCGATTGTGAACGTGTACATCACGAATATGCACGAACAGGTCAGACAATCAATAAAGAATACTACGTTCAAATTTTGAAACGTTTGCGTGATGCAGTAAGAAAACGGCCGCACTTTTGGGAAAGTAATGACTGGCTTCTCCATCACGATAATGCGCCAGCGCATCCATCCAATCTTGTGCAGCAGTTTTTGAGCAAACACTATATCGCATTGCTTCGACAACCTCCATACAGTCCCGACATACCCCGTTGTGACTTTTGACTTTCAAAAACTAAAAAAACCACTCAAAGGACACCGATTCGATGACAAAACGACGGTTGAAAACAATGCGACGAGTGTACTTAAGGCTATCCCTAAAAGTGAGATCCAGGACTGTTTTTAAAAGTGGAAACATCGATGGAACCGTGTTATTCAATCAAGTGGGGATTACTTTGAAGGATGCCACCCACCAGATGATAAAGAATAACGCTAGCACGAAAATATAAAGGTAGGCCCGATACTTTCCGGACAGACCTCGTATTGATCGGCTCTTTGCGATTCATACTTGGTCACTTGCTTGATAGTGACTAAGTATGGGTCCCTAGAGTTAACGACGAGGACGTGACCGGTCTTATGACACCACATTCACGCGCACATTCACTCACTCATTCATACATATGAATACATTCAAACATCATTCGCTGATCAATAGCCAAGGGTTTTTATTTTTACGTCGTGGTATTCCATAAAAAAAATTTATAAAAACATTAATTATATGTATATCGTAATCAAAAATTTAATATTTTTTACCAACAATATTCGACATAGTCTTCGTTCTGGCTAATTATCTACGCCAACTTAGCTTGAAAATCCTTTTTATGATTTTGGCAGTTGGCGATTTTTTTCATGTCTTTGAAGAAAAGGTGAGCGTGGCACATTTCGTGTAAAATTTTGCTGGTCACTCTCTCCAAAGACTCGTGTCTTGACACGTTCACGATTATTTGTCGTTCGGTAAAATTAAGTATACCGAGATTTTGTTCGCCCGCAAACTCGCGATATATCCGCCACTCTTTCATTTCAACGTCTTCATTGAAATATCGGTGGCGAAAATAATCAAAAGTAAGCACGCAAATCAATTTTCTTATAATTGATTTTACTAGACGGCTTGAAACGAAATAAATAAAAATCATTCAATAAATTGCCAGCAATTCATCCGGACAATTCTACAATAGACATAATTACTACTTACTGCTGATTGATACAAGCACCACTGAAAAAAAAAAGTTTCATGTGCTTTGTTCTCAAACACATTGCAAGCCTCCGTCGCTGATTAGCACTGATGGAGCATAAATAGAGCGACGTTAAATACAAAAAAAAGAAAAATTACTACTTACCTCTTAAGGGTCAGAATCTTAACATCCAGCGAACGCGACGTACGCCAACTGCTTCGTCGAGTAGCATCAGTTGACATTCTGGCTTTCACGGTATCTGTAACTTAATAGAAAAAAATACAGTTATGAATATAAGTATTACAAAAGTAGAGAGAGAAACACACGAACTTACTCTATTTCTACAACAAACTACAAGTAAAACTACAAGTACAAACACGAAGAAGAAAAATAAGAAATGCTGTGGTGTCCTTTTTTTTGCAGCTGACTCAGCAGCAATACTTCCGAGCGAGACATGAAACAAAAATCAACTGCAAAATTAAGGGAGGTGGTGGAAGAGAGATCAAACTCAAGTTACGCGACCCATGAAATGTGGCTGCCACGATGCCTAGCGTGCCAGTAATTGTTGGATGTCAGGAGTCAACCTGAAACAGAAATCAGCTGAGCAATTAGTAATTGTAAATTAATATAATAAAATTTCATCGGTTCTTCGCGATCTTGACTTGGTCACTAACACTGGATTGTAACAAATTATATATCCCAAGGGTTAACGACGAGGACGTGACCGATCTTCTGACCCCGATCCTCGAAACATCGTTAAAAATCCATCACACACATACATACACAATAGCCGATCAAGACAATAACACAACTTTATGTACTATAGAAAAAAAGCCGAGGAAGAGCAGCTATTACGAAGATAAACAGGACAGGTATGAATAACTTTGTAATGTTAAGTGGTTCCGCTCCTAAATAAAAAGGCACACCAATATTTCACTGAAAATTTGAAGAATCGAATTTAAGTTTAATTTCCGGACATTTCTCGAAATGTCCGGACGTTCTACATACATATTGGATTATGTCCGGAC